CATGAAGTCTTCCAGATCTCCCATTTGGAATCATTTTCTTCCTCACAGAGCCCATTTGGCATTGAGAACATGACTTTTATATGGCTATTATGTATCATGTGTGTCTCTTCCAGTAGTCTTTGAGCTTTTAGAAGGCAGAAATCTTCTCTGTCACATACATCAGATGCTTTAAAAACATTTGTTTTCATATAATTCTCAGTCTAACTGGTGAAGTAGGTATTCCATTAACTACCAGACCAAATCTGATAAACTCTGTAATAGAGATACAAATAAAATGCCAGGAAGGTGCAGAAATCAGTGACCTCTACTTGTGAATCAGAGTGGGTTTATAAGGAGTAGAGTTTAAAGTGGAGATTGTTGTAAATCAACTATACCTCAATTTTTAAAAATAAAGAATAAATTAATTAAATCTAAAAAATTTAAATACACTGAAGTTCTATGAGTGAAAATTATGAGAAGTTATTTCCAAACTGATAGAAAAGTTACTGCAAAAGGTCAAAAAGAAGGAAAATGAGTATCAGGCCTGGGAAAAGGCAAGTCAGATTTTATGGCTTGAGAGTCCAGAGATCTCTGAGGATGATGCCAGAGAGGCAGGTTTTGGAAAATCTTGAATGCTAGAGACTTTCTGAATTTATTCTCCAGGCCATTAAGAGTCACCAGTGGTTTTGCATCAAGGGCATGATAGAGAGGTCTGTTTTGTGAAGCTCAGCACAGCAAGAGCTTGTAAGAAAGACCAAAGGGAGAAGGTCTAGTTGCTGATCCAGCTGTTCTTTCTATTCCTGCTGTCACTATTCCAACCTAGACCTTCATCAGAACAGTTTTCCTGCCCAGTGACAGAGGCAGAGAAGGGGACAGAGGGTGTACAGAGGCCAGAGAGTGGGAGGACAGGTCAGGAGACCTGAATCAGGCTCAGCTTTGAGCCCAGTCTGTGCGTGTCCTAGGCGGACAGCGTGTGGATGGAGATGGATGACGAGGAGGACCTGCCCTCCGCGGAGGAGCTGGAGGACTGGCTGGAGGATGTGCTGGAGGGCGAGATCAACACGGAGGACGACGATGAAGAGGACGATGATGACTAGTTGCCGTGGCAGCCGCCTCCCAGCCCCACCCACTCTCCTCCTGCTCCCCTCTCCACTCTTGAGCTCCTCCAGGGACACTAGGTTGTCCCCTGCCATGGGGCTTGTTGGGGTCTATACACTAGGTGCTGAGATTTCCCGACACACTAGCTCAGCTATCTTCTTTGACTTCTGTTTCCTGTCCCATTACGTCCCTGTATCAATTCTTTGTTTTTTCCATCACTCCCTACATGCTTTCTTGTGATTCCCCTCTCACCGTATACGGGTTCCCATCTCTTCTGTCCCCTCCACCTGAGCAACTCCTCCCTACTCTCTCAAGTCCTCTGTCCTTCTGATTGTCCTATCCCTGGCCAGAGGGATGGGAGAGTACTGTGTTTGGGGCTGAACTTTAGCAATCTCTTGTTAATGTATTTGGGTCAAATGAGAGACCTCAATAAAGGATCTGGGGCAACATTAGCAAGTGTCTGCTGATGAGGTCTCACCCTTGTGGCAGAAGGAAGGCAGCTAGAGGATGGGGGATTCAGGTGTGGGTACCTTCTCAGGGGACTGTGATCACAAGGGGGTGGGGCTCTTCCCTCCAGACAGTTACCCCAGAGAAGCTTGGGTTATTTATCTGCTGCAAGTCAACAGCGCTTTTCTGAACACATGGTGTTCCTCCAGAACCACTGTCAGGCTCTGGGAGAACAGAGAGTGCTAGGCCTGTCCCTGCTCTCGAGCTGATTAGTCTCACTGAGAAGTCAAGACAAGCGCTCTAAACAATGAAGAAAAATACAAAGCAATATATAATTAAGTGATTATGTGCCACTTGATAGCATCCTCCCTGGCAGCTCTTATTTGAACAGCAAGATTGAGCCCAAATAACACTTCCTCGGTGAGGCCTTCCCGGAGGTGGCCCCTCCTGCAGCCCCTCCTCTGGGTTACCACCACACTCTCTCCATCCACCTCCTTCCACCTGTATCCTAGTGTCTGTCCATCCCACCAGATTGTGAGCACCTGAAGGAAGGAAGGACCCCAGGCTTTTTCTTTTTTTTTTGCGGGTTTTGTTCCCGAAAAGTCCTTAGTAAATGTCTGCTGAAAGAAGGAACAAATGAATACAGAAGACTCAAAAAAGAGAGATGAGAATGGGTTTTGATGGCTTCATCAAGGAAATGAGTATTTTCTAGGTCTTAAATGAAGAGTGGAATTTGGGGCAAAGGAGTTGGAGAGGAGACATTTCAAGTGGTGAAAACATCAAAAGCACTGTGGAATGTGTGTGCCATGCTAGGGGCACAGAGAGACCACACAGACAAGAAGAGTTCACGTGGTGGCTGTGGGCTGGGTGTGCACCCAGGGCTAGGTCGCAGAGGTGTCCTGTGAGCTAGGGAGGAAGAGCAGCATGTAAGCTGGCAGTGATGAGCAGGATGGACAGAGGGAAGGAAGCTGATGGAGATACCAGAGGGAGGGAGTCCAGCTCTTAGCAGACCATTACAGTAATCAAGGAGAGTCTGGAGAGCGTGGACTGGAGCGGTGGTTTAAGGGAATGCAGAGGAGACCTTGTATTTTGTACAGTGGGGATTCCCCCAGACCTGGGGGCCCGCTGGCGATCCTGGCAGGAAGGACCCACATTCTCTCCAGCACAGGCCCAGGCTGGGGTAAGTGTAATGGAGTCTGGATTAGGCGTGAAGGACAAGCAACTGAACAAGCCCATAACTAACGGACGTTACAGTTTTCATAGTCTGAATATAAAGGCACTGCTGGACAACTTAAGAGGATGTCTGAGCATGGAAGAATGAGACCTTAGGTGAGAGAAGTTTTCACCCTCCACAGGCAAATCCAGGAAGTCTTCCTGGAGATGATGGCATAAGTATAAAGTAGAAACCACCTATTCATCCAACTTGTACCCATCTAATAAATGTTTAATACATGGTATGGGCACTGGGCCAATACAAAAATATTGCAGAACTTACTCTCTAGCATAGGTCAGTGGAAAGCCCCAGACTAAATAATAGCTTCCACGTTTTAAGCATCCATCCATCTGTGCCAGTCACTAGGGACTTAATTTCTAAATCTCACAAGAACCCTGTGAGACAGACATCAGTGTTCCCATCTTTACCCACAAGGACACTGAGGCTCTGAGGCATAACCTGCCCAACAGAGGAGCAGGGCCAGCATCAAGCCCGAGTCCCCTTACCTGGCTGCCTCTGAAAGACCTGGACCTTTCACTGACTGTAGACAAGTCATTCAGTTTTTCTGAGTCTCAGAGGTGGGTCAACAAAACAGGTTTTGGCCCTATAACTCAGAACAAAGGAGACAAATGCAAAAGCAAATTAGAGTATGTTACTATCACAGGGGCAGTGACAGGGCACCCTGGGGAGAGGATGGCATAACAGAGAGAAGGGCTGTGAGGCCCAAAGCAGCACAGCCTGAGCCTCTTCTGGGGGAGTGTAGTCTCAAGAAAGGAGGGGCTCACCTGAGGCTTCCTGAGGGTCCCCTGCTGGAACCGGGGTGAAGGAACTCAGGCTGGTACTGAGGTGAAGCCGGGGCATCCCTGGAGGTGACACAGACACTGATGGGGCTCAGACCTCATCGGCAGGCTCTGCCAGGGTTGAGGAGAGACCCTTTAGGCTGGAGAGGAAAACAGAGGCTTTGCTACTTCTTCCTTCCCGTTCGCAGTCTGCCTGAGAATCTGAGGGAGGAAAGTCCCCAGGGAAGAGGGAAGTGAGAGCTGCCACGCTGGGCCTGGGCAGAGGGGTAAGGCAAAGAGAGTGAGGCACGGCTTTGCAAGTTGTCTATATTTGCATGCTGAGCTCATTGCTGCTCTTTTTCTCCCTAGAAAATAAAATTACATCATGATGGGGGGGGGGGNGGCGGCGGGAGCCGAGGCGGAGGCTCCGGACGCTGCTCAGGAACCGGGGACGCCAGAGTGCCCGCTCCCCGAGCGCTCAGCCCCGGAGGCGGTGAGAGGGCCGCGAGGGGACGTGTCGCGGGGAGGGGCAGATCTGGGGTCTGGGCTTGGAGGGGCGTCGATCCGGGACGCCTGGGGACAGATGCGGAGCGTGGGGGCCCCGGGCGGGTCCGCTCCGTGTCAGGCCCCACGGGCTCCGTCTCTGTGGGTGTGCTCGAGCGCGGAGTGCGTGCTGGAGGCGGCGTGGCTCCGGCCGCCCGTTCCACGGTGAACGGCAGTTTGGGAGTCGGACCGGGGCCTGGGGATTGGGATGCAGCCTGCTTCCCGCCCTGCCGGCTCGGCTGGGCCGGCTCCCGCCCCTCCCTCCCCTTCTCTGGCTTCGGACTCGCCTCGGCGGGCGGTCTCCCTGCCCAGCCCTGCCTCAGTTCCGCCGGCAGCCGCCCCTATCCCGGCAGCTGGCACCACGTGCCTTCATCCAGTCTCTGCACCTGGGGAAGAGGTGGGATTGTCGAAGGCTAGTCCCGAGGGAAGGAATCCGGAGCTGGGGGGTGTAGAGGAGTGAAGTAGCTAACGTAAAACCTATTCATTTCATATAATCCGTGTCAAAACTGTCAGGGACACACACACACCTACAAGAGACAGCCAGCACACACGGTGACACATACCCATGTGACTCTTACACACATCAGCTGCACACAGCAGATCACAAACAGCCTTGCACTTGGGCATCCAAGCCCCCACCTCATCCCCACTGCCTCCCACGTGCAAGTCTCCTGGAAGAATGTCAGCCTAACAGGACAGCTGAGGGGTGGGGGGCCACCATCCCCAAGTCCACCCTGATTTCCTGGGCATTTTCTCCCAGCCCTAGGCTTCGGATTGCCCCTCTTTAAAACAGTGAGAAAAAAAAAAAGGTAGAAAATCCTGGTCGCATTCCAGGACAGGGAGACAGGATCTTGAGGGTGAGTGAGGCTGGTACTTTGAAACTGGGTGAGTAGTGAGGGTAGGGGTTGCTGGGGGCTTCTCTTGCTGGGTCCAGTTGGAGCTCAGGGTGCTGGGAGTGGCTGGCCTCTGGGCTTCTGAGTGGCCAAGGGATGGAGGAGGGGGTGGAAGAAAGGGAGAGGGAGAAAAAGAAAAAATGAGTATGAGTCAGCCAAGGATGGAGCCCAAATCAGAGAGAGAGAATGAGGGGAATGTGTGTGACAGGCAGGCGACAACAAGAGAGGGACACAGGGACAGATACAGTCAGGGAACAGGGAGAGGAAGGAAGTGAGAGTCCTAGATGGTCAGAAGAGTGCGGAGAGTGCTGGGGAAGGAGGCTCAGAAATTAGGGAGGATGAAAGCAGGATGGAGGTGAGACCACTGGGAGTTAGGGGAAACATGCTGAATATGTATGTTTTGTTTCCCTATGTGTCTGGCCTCCAGGCTGTCAGAGCGATTAGCTTTAATTGCTCTTCCCTTTGTGGTTAAACACTCCATTGGGGAAATTGCCAGAGATGCCCTAGGCTGCTGGCTGCCCTGGTTGCCTACTTCCTTACTTCCCTGACACTTGTGCCCATCGTGTGTGCATGTATTGTCATGCATGTATAGGACCAGAGTTACACCCTGCCATGCCATCCCATCCCATCACTCTCTTAATACAGCATCACCCACTGTGCAGTGGTAGACATCACTAACCTGTGTGCGAACTTATTTTCTTTATAGCAGGGACACTCCTTCCTAGTATAGCTATAATAGTACAGTAGCTCTGTGTATTGAAATAAGGACACCAAGTCACAGAACCCAGGAATACTAAGGTATTCTTGGCTACCACCAGGTAGGATAGGATGAAAGCCCATTTGAAGACCAGGAACAGAGGTAATAGATGAGGAAGAGATAGAGATGGGAGAGAAATACAAGTAGAAAGAGATAGAACCAGATGATTAGAGAATAGCACAGCCCTACTCCCTCTCTCCTGCCCTGCTCTATCCAATGCCTGGTATCTCCTCTTGCTCTCATCTTGGGTCCAGTCTTTCTTCTCTTAGACTCAGGGCTAGAAGCTTAACATTGTCTCTGTACTCAGGGGTAACCCATTTTGCTTCTTGCACTGAACATTTGGAGGTCCAGGTGTCCTACCCCAACCCCTCATTCCCAGGCTGGCTCTGGAATCTTAGAATCCTCTTCTTCCTACTTTATAGATATAAATGCATCCCCTGCCCCCCACAAAAAGTTGAATAGAAGCTAAGGGGAGAGGTCAGCTGTGTATGAGTGTAAAGGGATAATTAGAGATGGACTACAGGACTCCTGAATTTGGGGCCCAGATCAAACTTAACCCGGCACTTTCCTGCCCCATCCCTCTGCTTTGCTGTGATTACCACCCTCTCAAGCCCAGGCTGTAAGACAGACAGACCTGAGTGCCTACAAGCCCCCTTCTGCCTGCTGCAGGGATCTCCAGGTCCTTGCAGTTCCCCTCAGCTTAGGCAGCTGCAGCAGATGTGAGGGAGGGAGGGGTAGCAGCTCCTAATCCTAAGGCTTCTTAAATTGACGAGGATTTGGAACCAAATGCTAGGGAGTGGGGATAATCATGAATTAATGTCCAAATGCATAGAAGTTCTTTTGGTGCTGCCACCTCCCCCATAGGTTACCCCAATTTGCCAGACTTCTCCAGGTGCCCCCAGGGCCTGCCTCTCCATCCCCAGTGCCCACGGAGCACCCACCGGTCATGTTCCCAACCACTGCCATCCTAGAAGCTCAGAATATAATCCTTAGCTCTTGCCCCTCTTCCTCAGCATCCTCAGTTGGTTTGACTTTTGTTAGGGCCCCACCTGGAGCCAGCTCAGGAGGAGAGGGAGGCAGGAAGGAAGGTGTGAGGAAGCCGTGAGCAGAGCACAGAATGATCTGGGAGGGAAGGGGACTGACTTCCTGGCAGCCTCAGCTCCGGTTCCCGGTTCCTGCCTGAGTATCCTGTCCCAAGAATGGCCTCCACCCAGGCCGCCTGGTGTTGCCTGGGCAGCCTCTGCCCTGTTCCAGAGATCAGGAGGACTTTCTGAGCTATGGGGACAGGAGAATTCTCTATAGGCCCTATGGAATTCTGAATCTTGGGTGAGAAAAGCAACATGGAGAGTGAAGGAGCCAAGCTTCTGCCAAGGCGCACCCATCATGGCCAGACTACAACTGAATAATGGTTGACCAGGGAAACTTGAGAACCAAGTAAGGAAACTCCCCCGAAACTTCCCTACCGTTGTACCTGCTGCCACACCCAGGCCTGGGCAGACTGTCTCCAGGGAGGCAGGCAAGCAGGCTGCCTTTCCCCTATCCTCTCTGTCTCTTCTCACTCACCATTCCCCACGTCCCTCCCATCCAGTGGTGTCATTGTCCTGACAACTGGGGGGACCAGAACCGAGGTTGCCATGGTAACCACTGAGCTCAGGCGGCAGCCTCATTGTGGACTGTGCGCGCCTTGTCCCCTTCCAACCACTGCAGGAGTCCTCGTTTGCAGCCCGTCTCTCCCTCTCCCAGCCCGTTTGCTGCCTCCATACTGTAGGCCCCCTCTTGCCCTTCTTCTTTTCTCTGGATGTAAGCTTGTGATTATCTGCCTGCTTTCACATACTCTCAGCTGACCAGTCACACACACACACACACACACACACACACACACTGGACCACATGTACTCAGCACCACTCATCCAGTGCTGGCACATACACATCCGTTACCAGAACATCCAGACACGCCCACAGAGCGCAGCACTGCCCCCTCCTTGTGCCTGGGCCGCTAGCGCACACATGTTCCCACCCCTTTCTCTCAGGGGCCTCCTTGTATCTGTTTCACTCTCCTAGAGAGGGCCTACCCACCGCCCCCAGGCCTGACGGGTGGGTGTCTTAATACACATGAATCCCTTCCCACCTACCTCCCCTCTAAGTCTGTGTTTTTGATTCAGAGTCCTAAATCTTAACTTCTCCTAGGAGCTGCACGCACACACACACCTAAATCTTAACTTCTCCNCGGGGGCTGAGCTCCAGAGCCTGCTGCTGTGACCTAGATTTCGAGGCGGAGACGGTCCTGGCGCTGACAGTCAGAGAGCATTGTTCCTGGCCCAGCCTGGCAGGGCCACTGCTGGGCCCTTCTGTCTGGTTGCACCTGGGTGTGCAAGTGAGCATGCATACGAGTGCCTGTCTCTTGTGGGGGCCGTGCTGGCGCTGCCGCCTGGCTTACTGTGTGTGTGTCATGGTGCCTGCCACCAAGGGAGGCTTGTTTGTTCTGGTCCAAGTAGGGGGCTGGGATGGGGCCTTCTGGGTCCACACCCCTTACTATATAGTGGCCATGCTTCTCTGCCCCAGTTTTCCTTCATATAAACAGAAATAAGGAAAATGGGGTGTGTCGACTAGCCCCTTCCTGCAATTCCTAGCCCACTGTTGGAGAGATTTGTGGGCAGTTTCCTACAAGGTCTTCTCCCTCCTTGCTCCACCCCTTGGCCTAGCTGCAGAGTGTTTATGGCATAACTTGTTTTTGTAAATGCTTTACTTTTCTAATTATAAAAGAAATATAGCCCTGGGCGGTGGGGGGGGGGGGGAAGCCCCTTTTTAAAAACCTACCACTAGAGTTGTGTATTTTATCAAATCCAGAAAGTTCATTCTAAGGTCTGACCTTTTTTCTTTCTGTCTTAGCCATAGTCCGTATCTTAGTGGAAGGAGGGTCTTTGATGTCCTCTCCGTTTTCACCCCAGAATCATGAAAGGGGCATGGGTGAAGGCCTAAATGAGATCCAGCCTTCCCAGCTTTTCGGAGGTCATGTTGAAGGTAGTGCCAGCCGGATGTTGATGGAAGCAGAAGTGGCAGCCCCCTTCCTGCCAGACTTTCCCAAAGCAGCATCTGAACCCCTTCCCCCTGCCACCCAGCCAGCCTGAGAACTGGGCAGGGGGCCAGAGCCAGCCGCTTGGTATTCTTGGGCGCGGGGGCTGCAGGCATAGCACAAAGGCTAGGAGAGAGGGTTGTGTGGAGGCCTGGCAGCCATCAGGGGAGAAAACGGGCTCCACAAAGGTTGGGGCTGTCTCCCCCTGATTTACCCTCCCCACCCCCACCCCGAGACCTAATGACTGAATGCAGGGCTGAGCATGGAGGGGCCCGGGGACCATTAGACCAGGCAGCTAGGCATCTATCCAAACATGAGTCACTACTGGGGTAGTGGGGAGTTGAACTGAGGGACCCCATTTGCTTCTGGAAAACAATGGGAGCTAGAATACAAGCCCCCTCCAGCCCCTTCTTTTTAGCTTCTTACTCCCACAGCAAGCCATTCCCTGGTAGTTGTTTTGGAGTGTTTTATTTTGTTTTTTGACAGGGGGAGGGGTTGCAGGTGGGTGGGGCAATCTGGGTGAGAAAGTCAGGAGCAGGTTGCTATGGTAACCGCCTCCTCAGTCAGGGAGCGGTTGCCAGGGTTACTGTTACAGGGAGGAAAAGGAAGAAAAAAAGATGGTGGGAGAAGGAGGTGTGATTTTTCACTCCAGACTCGAGCTTGGTCCCTAGCTTTCCAGTTACTTCCCGTCTGCCCCTATCTCCCTTGGGTCGTCCTTTTCTCCCTCCAGCCCTGGCCTCCCCAGCCTGGGTTCTGGGCACATTCCTGGCAGGGCTGAGGAAGTGGGCAGTGCCAGTGAGTGAACCAGATCCTGAAGCTCAAGTTCAGCGTCCTGTCTCCTTGTTCCCCCAACTCCAGTCATGGCCGAGTACGGGACCCTCCTCCAGGACCTGACCAACAACATTACCCTTGAAGATCTGGAGCAGCTCAAGTCAGCCTGCAAGGAGGACATCCCCAGTGAGAAGAGTGAGGAGATCACTACTGGCAGTGCCTGGTTCAGCTTCCTGGAGAGCCACAACAAGCTGGACAAAGGTGAGGGAGGGGGACACAGGCATCTTAGCGTCAGCCACTCAGGCTTAGTTCACGCGGCAAGCAGAAATTAGACCTCCTGCACAAAGTGCACTCCCCTCTGACAAGGCAGGATACGAGGAGCGCTCTAGCAGAGGAGACCGGCTCTAGGCAGTGGTCTTTACATCCTTCACGGCTCCTTTGTTAGTAAAATATTAACTCAGTAGATGCTACTCAGATCCTACTGTGCTGTGCTATTATCACATATATGATAGAACATTAAAGTAGAAGTTAAAAGTGGTAAAAATTTAAAACCACAAGTTCTATCATTTTCTTGTCTACTTTTAGAGACCACTGCTCTGGAAAGAGCTCTGGGGAGGAACTGGTGTTTAAGATGGTCCTGAAGGGCAAGAGGGATTTCAAAGGTAGGATCCAAAGGAAGACATGCTAGGCAGAGGGACACAGTATGTTTAGAAGTGGCTGGAAAGGTTAAGTTGAGACTGTGCTCTGGAGGGCCTTGAGTGATGCAGCATTTGACAGGTGAGGTGAGTAACCTGTAGCAGGTGACACAGGGAGGGGAAGGCAGACATGCTGCACTCAGCGGACTACGCAGTAGAGGGGAGGACCCAGGCAAGAGGCATCGGCAGTCTCCTAGAACTGGCCAACTCAGAGACATCCCTCTGGTCCGAACCTTCTTGTTCACAATTACCCTTCTCACGAGGCTCAGAATCTCTCCCAGGTTGTCTCAGATCCCACCCTTTCAGTCCTACATGTGCTGCGAGGAAATTCTGATGCATGTTGTGGTTTTGTCGCTAAGTCATGTCCTCTGTCCATGGGATTTCCCAGCCAAGAATACTGCAGGGGGTTGCCATTTCCTTCTCCGGGGATCTTCCAAGTCCAGGGATCGAACCCGAGTCTCCTGCATTGGCAGGCGGATTCTTTACCACTGAGCCACCAGGGAAGCCCCCATTCTGATGCTTACTTGGAGGAAAAGTGGAAGAGGGACAGGGTGGATGATGGGTATTTGGAAGGCCAATTCATTTTCTCTGCTTCCCTCCCCTCCCATGTGGAACCTGGCATTTCACCTAAATCTCACATTCTAAATCTGTAATCTTGAAACTTAACTGATCTGCCCTTCCCGGGAATAGTCCTCTGTACTGTTTTTCGCCCTGGCTTTCTTTCCCTGGCTTAGTCACCCCTCGTCTTCCAGGGGGAGGCCTCACTCCTCTGGTGGGAGCGCTCAGTCTCTGTTCTTGAAGCCCAGTCCAGTAGTGTAGGGGAAGCTGACAGCTACAGTCTAGCTCTGACCCCGAGTCTCCTGCCTTCCTCTAGACAACCTTTCTTATATCGAGCACATCTTTGAGATCTCCCGCCGTCCTGACCTCCTCACTATGGTGGTTGACTACAGAACCCGTGTTCTGAAGATCTCTGAGGAAGATGAGCTGGACACCAAGCTAACCCGTATCCCCAGTGCCAAGAAGTACAAAGGTAAGAGGCCATGCCTTTAATGTGCACCTCTGCCCCTCCCATGGATTATCTGTGGAATACTTGAATTTGGGGAGAACAGAGGCTCTGTTAGCCTACCTGCTGTCTCCCATGACTTCTGTCCCTGGACATGTCCCTTTTTGCCCTCAGACATTATCCGGCAGCCCTCTGAGGAAGAGATCATCAAATTGGCTCCTCCACCGAAGAAAGCCTGAGCAAAGGGGAGGAAGAGGAAGGTTGGACCTTCATCAGACCACTCTTTCCCCATCCTCCAGGGGAGGGGCAAGGGCAGCCCTCCCCCATCTTCCCACTTACTAACCTGGTCCTAACCCCCTTACTGTGCGCGTGTGTGTGCCTGTGCGCACGCTCTGGCTGTCTGTCTATATGTCTAGCTCATCTAGTTCCTCCTCCTTGTGAGGGGATGGGGGTCAGGGGCTGGGGGTGGTGGTGGGGCTGTTTCCCCACTCTAGGGGGAGTTGGGGGCTATTTCTATGCAAATAGAAATAGACACATTCTCTTACTTCCCTTTCCTCCACTCTTCCCCTACCTCCCTGAAGTGTGGGAGCAGAAAGGACCTGTGTTTTCCGAGGTTGAGGAGGCGAGGCGGGAGTGAGGCATGGGAGAGTGGGGTGAATCTAACGAAAAGCAGTGAGGGGGAAGATGAAGAGGCCACCCAACCCCCACCTGGAAGGGGCAAAGAGAAGCCAGAGTGTGTGTTTGTACCCCAATGCTGGACTGGCTGAGGAGTCCTGTTTCCAACTGTTCCTCAGGTTAGAGGGCCTGGGCACCAGCAGGTCCCCTTTTGCTCCCCTTTCATAGGCCTAGGGTGGGTATGAGCCAGGGACCTAGAGATCGGTCACTGGATCCTTCCCTGGCCCCAAAGTTCAAACCCCACGGAGAACCCAGTGCTGAATTCCGCCCTCATCCCCCACCTCTGGAGAGACTATGCTGGGAACATGCCCCCACCACTGAGCCTGAGGGGATGAAGGCAGAGGAGTCCCCTTTTCTACTCCTTTATTCATACTCAGACTGTTGCACATACTAACCTTGGGAGTTCCTAGAATAGAAATCCTTAGGTTTTAATTCCAGTCCTGTTTCCACCTACAGAGTCCCAACGTGGTTATTGCAGGCAACGTTCCCTCTCTCCGTGGTCTAGAAGCCCCTACCCCAAGATAGAAAGAAGGGAAGAAGCTAACTACAGTGTTTCCGTTGCACTGATCCCCAATTCAGTCCAGGAGGGGGCTTGGTAACCCCTCTCCCTCAATATCCTGGCACCTTGGGCTTGTGAACACCTCCTAGCCAAATCACTAGAGTACAGTGACCGCAGCCTCCTGCCTGTCCCAAGTCAGCCCTCCCCACCCTGACCGTGCTAACTGTGTGTACATATATATTCTACATATATGTATATTAAACCCGCACTGCCATGTGTACCCTTTTTTGTGGTGTCTAGCATTAACTTATTGTCAAGGCCCGGGCGGGGGTGGAAGGAGAATGCCACAGTGAAGGGAGTGGCAGAGTCAAATTGCTATATAGTCGAAAAAGAACACTTTTTTAAACTTTAATTTCACATGCAATCTCAAGAGACTATTTAGAGAGTTTTAGTGAGGTGGGGAGCTTTTAGGATGTTGGAAGCAAAACTTCAGTGGGAGGGAAGGGCTGGCTGTTGGAAGAGGGAAGAAGCCAGACTGGCTGGAGAGCACCCTCTACTAGCCTAGCCCAGCCCAGCCCAGCCCAGCCTGTCCTCTCTGGCCACTGCTGCGGACACCTGCCTTAAAACATACACCTTGAGTACTCCATGGTTTTGCCTTAAAGGACCTTCCCAAGTTTCCCCAGCCCTGTCTGGCTTTCTCCCTCAAGGATAGAGAGATGCTGGTAGAATTAGGAGGTGGAAAATGAGCATGAATTGTCCTTCCAAGCCAGGATATGTTATGTGAGATGGAGTCTGAGAAAGAGAGAGAGAGAGAAATAGGGAATAAAGAGGCTCTTCAAAGCGAGGCTTCCTTTGAAGAGAGGAGAGGATGAGATGAGAGAAGGGAGACAGGGTTCATTTTCAGCGGAGTATAGTAAATGTCTCTGTAAGGCAAAATAATCTAAAAAGACTAACCTGCCCTCCCATCCCAATACTGCTGTGAGATCGCCCCATTTTGTGCTCCTCTGTCTGCAGTGTGCACGGCCTTGTTCTAACCCTGGAATAAAGGTGATTGATTGTACTGTACCTAACTGATTTTAGAATTTCTGTGAATGACCAAGATTTTGGAGGCTTTGGATGACTGGGAAGGGAGGGAGAGCAAAATTTACCCCCAAATCCTTAACTGCAGCCTGGAACAGAGGTCAGGAAAATACCCCTAAGCAGTAGCTCTCCCTTCCCTCATCTTCTAAGTATCACTGAACTGTGAGGCCTATTCCACTTATACAGTCTCCAGCTGGAGCCCAACTGCTGGAAACACGGATATACCAAGCTGGACTTCCTAAAACTGTAATAAGACTAAGGTCAGGCACCACACTGAAAGGAGCAAAAACAGCTCATCACAAGTGAATGGCTCACATATCACACACAGAGCAGCAGTCAGGAAAAACAAAAAAAAAAAGCTTTACTGAGAGAAAATACACAACAAATTCCAGAGTGCATGGTTTCAGCCCACTCCATCACCCTACCAGCAGTAAGAACACAGACCGCTCACAGTCACCACACATTCCCTACCTCTGGAAGGAAGTGCAGCGGCTAACATCTGGTCTGAGAGCTGCTAGGAAAAGGGACAGGAGGAAGGAGTATCTGGGAATTCCATCCTTTCACTCTTCCCTTCCTTCCTGGCCTGTTCTAGTGGAATCTGACTGTCCCAGGATGCAGAATTCCTAGCTGGGGACAAAGAAATAGCAGCAAAAGCATTTAAGGGCAAGAATTCAACTGGGACTTTCCTGTTTATTGACTACTGACACAATAGGTGTCTGAGCCCCAGCCACCTTAATCAATCCTTAGATTAATGACTTGTCCTTCAATCCCAAGATATGGAAAGGTGGACAATGTAGAAAGTCAAACCCAGGAGGTCTTTCCCTATATTCTTCCATTAGGAAGGGAGCTGGTGTGAAGCTGGATAGCTTAAAGAATCAAGCAGATAAAGGTTAGAGTGAGTGTGTCTTCTATCACACACGGTACTAGGAAAAATGGTCTGCAGTGGCAGGACCCTTACTGAAGTCATAGTTCAGTCAAGTTTTTAAGATAAGCCAGTCTCTGGCTAGAAGGGCCATCCTAGGAACCCTTACAAGACTTAAGGAGAGGTAGGATATCTGGGGCAAAAAAGCTGAAAGGGGTTTCCTCAACCCTGAAACCATGGTGGGAAAGCACGGAAGGGCAGAATTCAGGGTCCTTCCATTCCTGAGCCTCCTAAAACCTAAAGAGTTAAGCCCCAATCTGCAATGGCCATGCACAGAGGTTAGGCTGACCCCAGGTGACACCTCCACATCATTACCCTCATTCACTCTCTCCTGTAAGTCCCTTTATTGCAGTCATTGAGAATATATAGGTAATTAAACTCTGACAATAATTTTAACATGATACACCCAATTTTGAGTTGCTTTTTAATATATTTATAGATATAAAATTAGGCCTCTAACAGTGATAGGGACAGGGAGATTGCTGCCACCACACAACTTTGTTTAAAGTCAGAGAGGAGGTAACATCCTTCCTATGCTTCCACTTCTGCCCTCCTCCCACCTCCCCCCGACCTCCCTCACCAGACTTACTGAGGGGATGATGAGATAAAGAAGAAAGTGAAGGATACATAATCAAGTGCAAAACACTGTGACAAGTTCAGAGAATGAATGGGGTGGAAAGGAAAGTGAAGAGTGTAGGATGGTTAGGGACTCTTATTAAAAAGACTTCCCAGAAAAACAGGATCCTGGGATGGGGTTGCTCGGGGGCGGGGGGTCAGGCGGGCGGAGAAAAAACAATGCAACTGTCATAGACTTTTAAAAAATAAAGAAAATAAAGTCAAAAACCTAAACCAAAGAGAGTGTGGCATTTCTACCACCCCCAGTCTGGCCCCTTGGTACTGAACAGCCAGTTATCCCCCCACCCGCCACCCAAGAAACAAGGGAGACCAAAGAAAAGGAAACCCCATTCCCTACCCCAAACCAGTTAATAAAATAGGCTCTCCCTTCCCCCCGAAAAGGGTTTAGGGAGAAGCCACTTCTGCTGAGTCTATGCACCTCTCCGTGAAGCCCCATTCCAGGGTCCAACTCCCACTCCCAGATGCTCTCTGTAGGTTTGCTCCCCTCTGGCTTGTCCTCCTGGGATGTCTTTTTTTTTTTTAATCTAAAGCAAAAAAGTCCAAAGTGCGTTTCTGCTGAATGTTAGGGCCTGGCACAGGAAAGGGCTGCCCAGGCAGGATCGGGTTGGCAGCCCCAGCCCACCCCTCCTGGGTATGAGGCCTCAGGATGGCATGCACTGCACCCGGTCAGGACCCTCCTCCTCGTCCGATGTGTCTGAGGAGCTGGGAGACTCATCAGAGTCGGCGTCTGTGGCCCCAACCCCAGGTTCTCGCCAGCGCTGTAGGATGGGAAAGGCTTATTAGTAATTTCCTTGGAACAAGGTCAAGCGTGTTAGGTCTTAGTTACAATTTATATGCTCTAGGCCAGGGTCAGCAGAATTTAAAGGGCCAGATGGTAAATATTTTAGACTCATGGGCCTTATCTGTGTCACAACTTTTCAACTCTGCTTTCATGTTGCAGCATGAAAGCAGCCAGACAATGCATAAATGAATGGGTGTGGCTATATTCTAATGATACTTTATTTACAAAAAACAGGCACTTGCCAAAACTGCCAGTTTGCTAAACCCTACCCTAGGGTCTCTTCTGGCATGAGAGAAAAAAAACAGAACAGAGTCTGAGAATTATTATTTCTTCTCAACCCCTTCCCCACCGTCATCTGACTGCCTTTTTGAAGACAGCCTGGTGCATGCACGGTGATGGAGAACACAAAGCAGATGCCATCTGTCTCCACTAGTGGCTTGTCCAAGGCTACATGAAGGTTCTGATGGGGATGGGGAATAATGGATAGGAAACCCAACCAACTTCACCTGATTCCTCCTAAGGCAATGAGGAAGTATGCACTGGAATGTTTCACCCTCTTGAGAGGGTCACTGCCCTTGGGAGCTCACTTCCCACCCCTGCTTACCCGGTGATGGCGTCTCTGTCTCAAGTGGTGCATGAGGAACCAGAGCATGTGGCTATCAAACAGGTCAGTGTGGTGCAAGCTATCTTCATCCCGTTCCCGCTTGTTCTTCTTAATCACCTGGAACCAAGAGGGTGAGGGGATTGGGCGATGAATATAAACCCTAGACTTGATCAAAAAAGGCTGGTGTTCTAGCCCAGTAAAATCTTCCCTTAGAAACTATTATGCTGGAGTGAGCTAGATTAGATTAAGAAAGGATGCTCCAGGTTCATCCAATGAGAAGGTGGATGATTCTTCCAAAAGATGTCCCTATCCCCACTCGACCATTAACTAGAGGTACTTCAAAGCTGTGCATGGACTCCTGGACTGGGACTATTCCTAGAGAGGCAATGACAGGAATATGGGGGATGGTGTTAGAGCAACGCCTTTAAAAAATTGTACAGCAAGTTATTCCTTCCTGTAACAATAAAAACTCCTCTAACAGTATGTGGATAAGCAGAAAGAAGAAATCCTTAGTCAGTTAGTTACTTACATCCTTTAACCCTGTAAGTTCAGTGGAAGTTTCAGCTGTGGGCGCCCAGATTTTGACATCATGGTCGAGGCCACTGGTTGCCAGCACAGGCAGGTGAGGGTGGGGCTCAAGACAGTTTACCTGGTCAGGAGAAGAGGAAAACATAGGCTTAGGGGTACGTGGGAATAGACTAAAAATCACTACTCATTTTGCACCAATAACTGTCCTTGATAAAAAGTTAAGGTAGCTGCTGGGAGGACATGCCCACCCATCATGAGCCTAGGCTAAAGGGCCCTGGACACAGACTGGGTATAAGATCAGGCCTATCTCTCATTTCCTATGTTTAGGTAGGGGTGGCCTCATCCCCAGACATAGCTCTAGGGGTGGGCGGGTGACTGGCCAAGCATACACTGCCTTCACAAAAAAGCAATGAGGTCCAGATGACCTCATTCTCTCCAGATTCCAAAGCTCCAACTCGCCCAAGGCTGGAAAAAAACATCTCAGTGGCTTTTACCAAGTGGCAAATAAATTTTTTAAAATGAAGAAAACAGCAGCAGCTGCTGAGCCCCTAGAGAATGCTCAGAGAACAATTACATTCACTTGGCACTGTTCACTAGAACTGGAAGAAGGCATGGGCTGGGAAGAGGCTGAGCCTGAACACTGGTGGGGTAGTGGAGACACATGTCTGCTTGAGACCCCTGCACACCCCAGGAGATGGCACCCTGCTGCCTGCCATGAAAGCATAACAGGCTCAGCTGTAGGACAGCAAAGTACAGCAAGGCAGTTTCCTGGGGCACCGACCGCCTCAAGCTCAACCACCCTCCGGATATTATTCACTGAGCAGGAGGAAGGAATTTCAGAAGGTGCGATGGCCTTCTAGCTTAGGCAGCCTCCTATCCAAAGGCACCCATGCCCTCTGCTGTCTGACTCGGAAACATCAGCCTTCCTCGGCAGAGTAGGGTAGTTGCCATCCCCACCGGAAGAGCTGGTCTCAGTCTAGCTGCTAAAGGATTTTTGGGCTTTTAGTCAGATAAGGAATAGACAGCAAAATATCTAGAAGGAAGAAGGTGTGGTCCCGTCCACTCCTCACCTCACCCCACCCTACCCTGTCTTGCAGCTGCCATATTATGTCCAAGAAAACAACCCTTGGCAAACAGCCTCTTAGTTCTCCATGGACCAACCTCTGCCTCGCCTGCACATGCAGAGAGCGGCTGATGGGAAGCCAAGGTCAGCTGGAAAACTGACATACAGATTTCTAATATTTGTCTTCCATTTTATTAGTAAACAAATTCTCAGAATAGACTGATGCTAAGTCTGAGTGTAATAGTAAAGCAGAAACTACATTTCCCTTTCTCCTTTTATTTCACATATCAGCTCACTGCAAAGTTTATTATCTGAGCTCCTTTAGGAAGTGTGGAAGAAGCTCCACCACCTGGAGCAGAGATGGCACTGAACAGAAAAACTCCACTGCCAGAAATATTATCAAGATATGTTAACTTAACACACACAAACTTGAACTCATTCATCCATCTCTAGATAAGCCCTTGCTACTCTTCTAAAACTCTGACCTAGCTTTGCTTGACAAGGCAGTAAAATAAAGAAGCACAGGAGAGAAATTCCTTGGAACTTGAGACTTATGGACAAAGTCAGTGACAAGAGAGCAAGACAGTAAGTTACATATAGTACCTGAGTTGGAGCTTGCAGAGGGAGCCGACAGAGAGCTTCTGGGCCAGAAGACCTGGTCGTTTCACCTGACCCATCTGAAGGTCAGGGCTTATCCTGTCAATAATGCCTGAGCAGGGAAAAGAGCTCTGGCCTTAGATGACTGAGTTAGGGGATGCAGAGAATGGGATAAAGGAGCAAAGTGTTTTTGGGAAACTAAAGATGGTCCTGTGACAACCCTTGGCCCTGAATGAAAACAATAAAAGACCTAGATTTTGAGCCAAATACAAAATCAAGAGACTTGGGCAAGGAGGATAAGAATTTCAAAGATCCCTATCTACTTTATGATATATTCTGCACCCAGGCTGGTGCTGTGACCTCACTGCTGGGAGGTTAGCACAAAGTCAGAAGCAACCACGTGAGGACCACACAGATCATTCAGCTTACACAGAGGCAAGAAAAAAGCAGGAATCTCACTGCGAGGTGCAGTCTTTATACCTCCTGTTCTAGTGCTTCACTCTCATGACCACTAAAACTCAGGCCCAGGGCCCACCCATCCAAAGCAAACGCCCTCCCCATCTGAGCACCTGGATTAATCACAAACCCTGACATTGGCTGAGCTGACAAGAGACTGGCCTGTGGAGTGATCTGGGCAAAAGACAAGTACTGGCCTGTGGGAAGGGCATTTAGCCCTTTATTTCTTTAGAAAAGAATGCAAGACAATAGTTTATGATCAAGAAAAGATTCACTGGCTTCTTCTGACTTCCTTATGGCTACATGCCTACTATAGAATGCTCATTAAGACTCCAGTGTTTTGGGTTTGTTCACTACACACGGTAGAAGAGGACCTACATAAGAGCAGGAAATGAAGCAGGCAACAGTGATACATACCTTTAAGTTCTAGACTCTTCTCTATTTATATTCAAGCCATAAAAACCCTGGATCTATACTGGTTCCAGGTCCCCCACATTTAGCAGAAACCAGAAAAGTCTGAAATAGCCTCGCACCAGGATAAGACACACACAAGAAGAAATGGGAACCCAACTGCAATGAACCATTCTAAATTTTAATACCACTCTCAATAAACCTCGTCAAGGGATGGCTGGGTTCTCATAGCTCCTCAGCTATTCCTGAGATGCTCTTAACCAGACTATCTTGAGTAGTCAGGACAATGCAGCTGCCCCAACTGCCTCTTTCTTATTGTCTGTAGTCTGAAAACCTTATAATAGAAAGTTACTGAATCCTTCCTGACTCTAGGTCTCAAAGGAGGAGAAAAAATTATAGTTAGCTAGATACATCTTAGGAGCTGACCACCTTTCACTCCCCAACTCAAGACCCTCAGGCTTCCTTTTTTGCCTTATCTCTATGGAGTCTACTGGACAGGCAGATATGATATGATAATGGGTTGTATAGCAGTCAAAAAAAAAAATGGTGGTTGGGCAGGGGGGCATATTTTCTCTCTCCCTATGTATGATAAATATCATGTGTGTCTGTATCAGCGTACAGACTATATCCTGATTTTCTCAATTGTCAGAAAAAAAAAATTCTCCTCCTAGCTTGTATCTGCTAATCCAGGATCTCATCAAGATTACTACTAAGCTACTTACTACACTGTGTAGGATGGTGTGCCCTTAACTCTAATGCTTTTGCTCTGGGAAAAGTCTACACCTAAAGATACCTCAGTTGGGCCAGAGATTCTTCCCTAAAATCCCTCTCTCTTCTTAATAAACCATGCTATAGAGCTACAGAAGACAGGAAAAGGAAAATAATTTCATTAAAACCTCAGCATCCCCATCCCATAGTATAAAAAGACTATACTGTCTTTTTATTTAGCTGGCTAGACCTCTAAGCCATGGTATTATGTTGTCAAAGTAACAATTCAGTGGCCCTGCTAAAACCTACCTTAATGACTGCAGAGAGTAGGGAGTCAGCCAGCCCAGCAAACCATACTCACCACGCCTCCCTTGTCCCCCTCCATGAACTGAATGATCTGGCAGGATGATTTCTCCCAGAGGAAGATGTGCCCACAGTCACTACCGCTCACCACAAACTCACTCTTGGGGCCATAGAAATTGACGCCTTTTACTGTAATGATAAATGAGGGAATAAACCGCATGAGAGCTGGCATTAGGCCTAAATATTTACCTCACAGGAAATTTATTCACACATCTAAATCGGCTAAGAGCCAAAAATTTCTTTCACTTTCACAAAACAAATCAAGGGATTATGCATGTAAAATAAGATAGAATAAGAATCACACCAAGTCCCAGAGACTATTTATAGTCTCCCAAAGAGGTCCACGGAGTTGAGCAGTTTACAGTCCTCAGCAACAACCTCCAACGAACAGCCACCAGCCTTACCAATGCCTCACCTGTCCCAACCTGAATGGCCCCAGCCTGCCCACTGTAAAACAGCACTGTCCCATGCCCTACGATTTTCCTTGGTATCTGTGATTGACTGGTACCCAGTCCGTGCTTCCTGGGTCATTAGGTGACCTAAGACTGGTAGAAGTTTATGCTACAACTGCCTAAAGTACCTGAGGTGGGCTTACTACCAAGACTGAACAACAGGACCCCACCCTCTGAAATTAGTAAGAGAATCCAGGAGTCCCAACTGCTATGTCTAGTTCCATATCCATCACAAAACTGGAACACTTCCTTCTGTATGCCCAAGGACCAAGATTAAATATAGCATTCCCCCTCTCTTCTCACAGTTCAAGAGAAAAAGGAAAACTAACTGCTCTCTCCCAGTCAACATTATAACAGACATCTGTTATGAGCACTAATAACAACCAAGAGCAGTGATTCCAACTTGTCTGTACAAGAATCAAACAGGTTGCTTTTGAAAACTCCTAATCAAGTTGTACCCTATACCAATTAAGTCTGAATGGATGGGTATGGGAGCCAGCTTCAGGTGACTGCATCATATAGCAAAGTTTAGGAACCACAGACAGAACAAAGAAGGCCAATCGTCACAGCAAACCTGGGTGAGGTGCTATCAGCATTCCTCCTCTTCTGCATCATGCAAAAGAACTATTTCTTCCTCTTCCTTGAAAGTACAAGCTCACCCCCCCATTTTAGGCAATTAGTCTTAGTACAACCAACTAAGGAGGGCTCTCCCAAACTCCCTAATAAGTCTTTTAATCCTCAAGTTACCTGAAATCGTAAGTTTTCATATATATTTTATATAGTCAGTCTAGTTTACTTACACCCAGACCAAGTAACATCACTATCATGGTGAGAAATGCTCCTGAGCCCTCTCTCCTCTAGCACAGGAGGGCCGATGAAAACTTCAGCCCACTCAGGCTTGTCCTGTGGTGATGGGTAGCCTAACTCCTTTAGGTAACTTTTATTTGCACAACCTAAATGAGATACTGTGGCTCTTCAAATCAACAGGCTTGGGGTATAGAAACCTAGAAAGACAGCCTCACCTGTGGCATTATTTCTGTGGCCCTTATATCTCTTAATATACTGGGCCCCATCACTGTGAGAGGAGTTGAAGAGGTAAATGTCTTCATCATTGTAGCTGGCCAGGAGCTCTGCCAAGAACAAGCACACAGCAGTGAAGGCAAAGGCTGAAAAGAGCTAGGACTAGGAGCAGGGGCTGGGGTGGGGCTTCTTGCCAGCAGTGCCCCCTCCTGACACCCAGGTATAGCGCCCATCTTACTCAGTTGGAACAGCAAGCAATTCAGGTGTCTAGGGTAGACTAGGAACACGCTGCCAACTCAGGGGTAGCAGAATGCTCAGGAAGATCATACCCATTAATTCAGGAATGAGTCAAAGGCTAAGAACCTGCTCAAGCAAGTAGCCTGGACTTTAAGACAGGCCGTGCTAAATATCGCCTGTGGCATTCTGCGAGTGCCTGGCATCTCCAAGGGTCGTGTGCTGTATCCTCCCACTGTGTGCTCACCGTCAGCGACTACTCCCCACGGCTCCACCTGGAGCTACAGCACAGTGGTGAGCACGGGAGGGCACATGCCTCGCTGGCGCAGCAGCTCCCTAGACAGAGGGGGCATGCCAGCCTAGGTGCTGGGCCCTGCTCACGTACCTGTGCCGTCGTGGCTGTACACAAGACAGGTGATGTTTGCTTTGGACTCACTGTTCACCTGCAATAAGGAGCAGATACTGACTGATGCCCCACCCCCCCATTTATTATACCACCTTCAGGAAATAGGCTTTCCTTCACACTCCCCTGTGTCTTCTCCCAGGGACTGAGAGAGAGAGAGAGGCAGAGAGAGGCAGGGAGACAGACAGACAGGAGTACAACTGATGAAACTTGACCAAAATGGGGGGAGAGGGCTTTCTACTGGTTGTCTTCTGTGTGTTAGCCATTTCATATGCACATTATCTTGTTAGGCTTTACCATCGTGGTACAAGGCAGTTATCTGTATCTCTGTTGATAAGAAAACTGAGGCTAAAAGGAGGTAAGGTGACTGCCCAAGATCACAAAACTGCTAAATGGTAGAGCCAGGGATCAAATCTAGGTGTCTTTTGACTCCAAAGTCCAAGCTCTTCCCACTATGTCAACAAGTCTGGTGGCAGGCTTGGGGTTGAGTCAGGGAAGTCTGGAGCCACTGGCCCTTCATGAATCTTACCAGGTGATGAGGGCAGAATTTCTTGAGTACTCCATTGTTTTCATTCTCATCAATCTTCCTCTGGTCATAAATCCTACAGAAGCAGCAATGAAAATATCAAAACTTACAAACAACCCTTGAAGAGCTGAAATTCAAGGCAGTGACTAGAACAGCAGTCAGCTGGATGTCAGAACAGATAAAAGACATTCCCCAATTCAGCTTCTGGCTCAGGCTTTTCCTCAAAAATCTCCCACCCCTCTTCCAAACCAAAACTCTTTTATCCAGGTACTTCTCATTTCAAGTAGTAATCCTAAGTTCCATTATTTTGAAGTGGCTTATCTCTTCTCTCAGCTTTTACGTCGCTTACTATTTATCTGCACTGAAATAACATTACAGATCCTTTTCTATGTATGCTGTCTCCCCAATGCAGTTCATTACTCACGGGCAGAGACCATGCTTTTTCTAAGTCAGGGGGTCCTCAATCCCTTCCTGAAATTTTATTTGGCTAGTTCTCCCCACAACTATTACAAGCTACCATTTATATCCCAAGACTCCCTCTATTCTTCCACCTTTTCCATCAAGCACCAAACTACCCTCACCTTCCCTCATCTTTCCAATGCAAACTTTAATCATTTGTGCAACCATTTATGACACACAGATTAGGTGCCAAGTAGTATACCAGGTGCTAGAAATACAGTGAGGAACAAGCCAGATCTAGCCACTGTCCTTGCATATCAGCGTCCTCCAATCTCAAGAGTCTCATCCCTCCAAGGACCCTGTTCGCTTGATTAGCCCTCCCCCTCACCACTGTCTGCCCATTCTCTACAAATCCTCCCACTGACCTTTCCCACTCTGCTGTTTCTGTCCCCCCACCTCCCCACCACGCCTTCAGTTAGACTGTGGGAAAGAGCAATCTGTTTTTAACATTTTCACTCCCTCACCTCCTATTCATTTCTTGATCCACTCTAATCTAGCTTTGGCTTTCAATTCACTACTGAAACTTCTCTGGCTAAAGTCATAAGTAGCCTAACCACCAATGCCAACAAGATACTTTTTTAGGTCTTTCTCTCATCTTTTGACATTATTCATTACTCCTTCCCTGAAACACTTTCTTTCCTTGATATCCAACCAGAAGCACATGGGCTTGTGCTTCTTTGTTCATCCCTTCAATGCTAATGTTGCTCAAAGGTCTAGTCTTAAGTTCTCTGACTCTATGTATGGAAATTTTAAAACCTAGAGTTCAAGTATATGTGAATGCCCAAAAACTGTGCTTACATGTAGTTCTCATATTCTCAAAGAGGCCAGAGACTCAAAAGGGAGGAAGAATTCTGCACTATACTTTCTTCTGGTGATCAAATTCCATTACCAACATTTTAACTACCACCTATATGTAGATACATGTCTCTTAGATCTGTGTCTCCAGCCCACGCTTGTTCTGAGTGAGCTCTACATGTATAGCCACATGCCAAATGAATGTTGTAATGGAATGCCCAAAAGTAAAATCATTCTCCTTAAATTAAGATCGTTCAAGATCTACCCTTCCCCCCAAATCTTTGTTAATGGCACCATCCTAAATTCAGGTGGCCAAACCAAAAATCAGGTCCTTTCTCTCCTATATTTCTTTCCTGTCAACAATTTGACTTCCTGGGTATATTTCTTCACTATATCTGCTTTCTCCACTCTTATTCATTTTTTGCCTACATTATCTGTAGTAACCTTCTAACTGATTTCCTTGCTCATACTATCACCAGAATTACATCTAACATGAAAAATTTAATGTAAATTCCATAATTAAATCTCTTCAGTGATTTTGTACTTTCTAGTAAATAAGGTTCAAACTGCTCAATATGGCTGCCTACCACTTCCCAAAGATCCTATACATTACACACACACACACACACACACACACACACAAAGCTATGCTTCCTTGTATACACCATGTCTCATCTTGTTATCCTAAAACAACTGTGTTTCCTTTACCTGAAATATTTCCCATTTGTCTTTAATTTTCTTTTGTGAGAAAGAACAGCATAGTTAATGGTTTCCACCATATTGAAGGAGTCTGAACTGAGTTCAGATACTATGCTCCTTACTAGATGAGTAATATTGGGTAAGTTACTTAATATTTTTAATCCTTATATATCTGTTTCTTCAGAATCCTCCCTGAAAGCAGAAACTACATCTAGTCAACTGCGTATCTAGCACACAGCAAATGCTCAGTAAATGCTAGGTGAATAAACAAACGAATCAATGTATGTTTGTATTCTCCACAATTCATTAACAAATATCCTGCATAAACAGACTATCCAGGAAATGTTTTTTAAATGAACCAATAAAAAAAAAGAAGACAAACAGGAGACTGCTGTACTACCAATTACTACTCTTCAGCAAATATAGCTGCTAACAATCAGATTTGTTTCCCCTCTAAGTCTAAATCAACAGCTTTCAAATATCACTAGGTCATCATTATGTTCCCAAGTCATCAAATTAGTAAAAAAAAAAATTTTTAAGTATTTAATATTTTGGTGTATGGAACAGTCTGTGTTCCTCAATATCTAAAGCTCTTTGCCCTTCTTTTGTCTTCCTCTTTCTTCCCTAAGTATTTATTAAGAACCTATTATATTCTAGATATGATGCTTGAGACTAGGGGTTGGCAAATTTTTTCTTAAACGGCAAGGCAGTAATTATTTTAAGCTGGCAGGGCCATCCAGTCTCTGTCACAGTAACAAATGGCTATGTCTATGTTCCAATAAAACTCTGTTTACAAAAACAGTGTAGACTGCTAACACCTGTGCCAGAAAGTGGTGACACAAAAATTTTAAAAAATTCTCTTATTATTTGAGCACAGGACAGAAGCTTGTCATTCAAAAAAATTTTTGTTTTTGATTTATAATACTTTATTAAGCAGTTTTAGGTATACAACAAAACAGAGAGCCATATAGATGTTTTCCATACACTCCCTGCCCTCACACATGTACAGCCTCTCCGATTCTAAATCACTCACCAAAATGGTAGTTTTTTTAAAAACCTACACTGACATACCATAATCACTCAAAATCTACAGTTTACTCTACATTCTACAGGCTTGGATAAATGTATAATGACATATATCCACCATTAACATCACAGAGTATTTCCACTGCCGTAAAAATCCACTGCCTATTCCTCTCTCTTGCCCCACCCCACCCATGGCTATCACTGATCCTATTTCCACAGTTTTGCCTTTTCCAGAATGTCATACTGTTGGAACATATAGTATGAAGTCCTTACATACTGGCTTTTTTTTCCACTCAGTAATATGCATTTAAGATTCCTCCATGTCTTTTCATGACTTGATGGTACATTTCTTTCTAGTGGTAAATTATCTTCCATTGTCTAGATATACCACCATTTCACATACTGAAGAACATGCTGGTTGCTTCCAGAGTTTGGCAATTATGAATAAAGCTACAGTCATCCATGTATAGGTTTCTGTATAGACATATGTTTTCAACTTCATTAGGTAAATACCAAGGAGCTTAACTGTTGGATCACAGGGTGCCAGTTTTGGAGACACTGTCAAACTGTCTTCCAAAGCAGCTGTTATCATTTTGCACTGTATGCATCTTTCCTAATGGTCATCTTTCCATTCACTTATCTGAATATCTTCTTAACTGAGGTGTCTGTTAAGGTCTTTAGCCCGTTTTTTGATTGAGTTCTTTTTTGCTGTTGAGATTTAAGAGTTATTTGTATATTTTGGATAACAGTCCTTCATCAGATGTTCCCTTTGCAAGTATTTTCTCTCAGTCTGTGGCTTATCTTCTAAGTCTCTTGAAAGATACTGTCACGGAGCAGAAGTTTTTAATTTTAATGAGATCTAACCTATCAACTTTTTCTTTCATGGATATCTTTATAATGCTGTATGTAAAAAGCCATCACCATACTGAAGGTCTTCTAGGTTTTCTCCTATGTTATCTTCTAGGCGTTTTATAGCTTTGGGTTTTACTTTCAGGTGTATTATCCATTTTTGAGTTAACTTTTGTGAAGGGTGTAAGGTCTATATCTAGATTCAGTTTTTATACGTGGATGTCCAGTTGTTTCAGCACCGTATATTGCAGAGCCTATCTTTTCTCCATTTTTTGCCTTTGCATCTTTGTCAAAGATAGCTCAACTATATTTATGGGGGTCTATTTCTGGGCTCTCTATTCTGTCCCTTTGATCTATTTGTCTCTTTCACCAATACAATGCTGTCTGAATTACTGCAGCTTTATAGGAAGTCTTGAAGTTGGGTAGTATCAGGCCTCCAACTTTGTCCTTCTCCCGCAATATGGTGTTGGTTATTTTAGATCTTTATTTTCATCTCACAAACTTTAGAATCAGTTTGTTGATACACATAAAATATCTTGCTGGAATTTTGACTGGAATTGCACTGAATCAACAACTCAAGTTGAGAAGAACTGACATCTCCACATTATTGAGTCTTCCTGTGCCCTTGACATTTTAAATCAAATAAAGAATAGCTTCAGCACTGTCTCAACATCCTTACTGCATTTCTCTCCACAGGCCTCCAGGTCCTCACTAACTCTAAGTCCTTCTCTTCCCTCCTCACCTCCTCTTCCTGCCATGTGCCTTTAACCTAGTGTTCTCTCAGTGTCACTGATAACAATAGGGAAGCAAAGGGACTATTTATTCACTGATCTGGGCCTACACTAAATCCTTTAGCAATAAATTTACATGTCAACCAATCACACTGCCAGATCTATTACCACAAGATTCATTTATCTGATATAGTCTCCTTTCCTTCACTCCTGTAAATTCTTATACCAACCCAAGCAGGATTTAGCAGCAGAGACTCAAATTGATACCACCCCTCACTTGCCTACCTTTTTTCTTTCTCCCTACCCTCCCTGCTTTTTGATCATATTCCAAAAAGCATTACTCTATAAGGTTTCCCTTAAATGCTCCTTCACAATCCTAAACTAAAATTCAGTGTTTACGATGCAAAAGCCTTGAGGATAAATAAGTGATTTTTCTGTACTCCCTTAGAGGTTTTCCTTCAGGCTAGTGAAAGCTAATAGTGCTATGATATAAAATATTCAGCAAAAATATTTTCAGATTCGTACTGTAAGGTGAACCTAAAGTTCTGTCAAAGAAAGAATCAGAAAGGAGGAATTCCAATATACTCAGTGAACTGAAGAAGTGCCAGAGAAACTGAAAATGATGCGAGAAGAGCTAGGGTGTTGGAAGGGCCATCTGCTCATAGGCCATCAGTTCAGTTCAGTCACTCAGTCGTGTCTGACTCTTTGCAACCCCATGGACAGCAGCTCACCAGGCTTCCCTGTCCATCACCAGCTGTGCCTCAAAATCTACATGTGCTTCTGTCAAGTAAACAGCCTATTACATGCTGAGAATTTGGCACATACAAAGGGATAAAGAACACTGAGGCTGATAAGAGTCAGATCTGAGTATTTCTCCTTGTGTCAAAATACTGAAACAAATTTCCAGCCCCATTCTAACCCTCAGAAAGTATCAGTTTTGGATAAAGGCATTATCAATTGCAGTTATCAATACAGACGATGCCTCCATTTTCCTCCAAACATCAAGGTCCTTGTGGTTGAATTATCTGAATTCACAGACTTTTCAATGAATCCAGATTGCTCAAGCAGGCAATCCAAACTAGAAATTTCAGTAAATGCTTTTTTGGAGGAAGTAGCACTTGAAAGTTCCAACAACTAAACCCCCTTTTTTGATCAACAGCTTCTTATCTTTAAAAAAAAAAAAAAATCTACTGCTACACATTTGCTATTGGTCAATAAAGAAAAGGAATCTAGAAGGCAATGAAAACAGGGGAAGAAGAGCGTAACAAAGTTCCCCAACTCTCTTGCAGGGTTCTTCAATAAATTAAGATCATTTCTCAGGGATTTCTAAAAATTTAGTCTATCCCTGTGACTATTAATAAAATTAATTACAGAATACAGTTATAAAAAATACCCTCTCATTTAAAAAGGAAGATCATGTATTTCACCACTATCAGAAAAGCATAAAGTCATTTATTTTTCTATAAACCTCTCCTTCCTCCCTTTCAAACTGATGACCGCTTGGCAACTAAAAAAATAAACTTGAGACAGACCAACTGGGTAGAGATGGGATGTAACCCTTTCTCAAGGGTTACATCAAGGAAGGGTCAGGGAAACTAACTGCAGTCACATGTAGTCATGGACTGAATCCATAAACTCTGTTTCCCTTAGGATATGCCTCAATAGACAATGTTACAAGAAATGTTTAAAATAAAAATATCACTAGGGATAAAGAAAAGTGGTTCAGGATACTAGGAGCCAAAATCTCTAAGTTCACAATGAGAATTTCCAAGTCAAATAAATCATTTCTGAATCTGAAACCAGTATCCAAAATTTCTCGTGCATGTTAACTTACATATGAAAAATGGTGGAAAGTATTTACTAAATAGAGCACTTGCTAGTAAACCTGGGTTTACGCTAACTACTAGGTGGAGACCTTGGTCAATTCATCAAACTTCCTTTAACTTGATAATATTTGCAACATGTCAAGCCATCCCTCAGGGAATGTTAATTAGGGAACAGAATATATCACAGAAGTTTAAACTCTTTGGAAGATGGCAAAAAATGAAAGATGGTGGTTAATGGATTTCTGGGCAATTCATACCTTTCCAAAAGGGACAGCTGGTAGTACACAACGCATCACAATCTCAAACTCTCAAAGACACAAAACAGCCACAGACTCACCTTACAAACTGGTCTCGTCCACCTACTGCAAATTGGTGGGTATTGGCAGGATTCACATAGATTGTATACAGCCCCACTTTCTTCTCCTTTTCTTTTGTCACCACCAGTTTCCTTCAAGAGTAGAAAAGCATAAATGTTATATTCTCCTAAAGATTCAGATAGTCATGGCAAGTGAGAACAGAGAGTAATGCAGACACAGCTAAGAAGAAACCAAGCAGATTTTCATTTGGAAATAAAGAAAAAAGTGGTTTTGTTTGTACACTGGAACAAGAAAAGAAAAATATAACCCACTGCCATATATATTTACTAAGTGCTACTTTGGAAATGGAATAAAACTTGTAAATTTATGGTGTTCCTCAAGAAGTATAAAATTAAAGGTGTATGAAAGTATCACTCCCCAGAGTCTCAGTCTGAGTTCAATATGATGATAACCAATCACTAAAGAGACAATACCCACATTTTCCCACCTTTTACTTACAAATATATCTTTCCAATCATCTGGGAGCAGGGAGTAAGAGGAGGATGAATCATAGGAAGAGTGGACAGAAAAGACTTTAAGGTCAGAATTTATCTCCCAGATTCCAGAAAAGCATCACTTAAAACACAGTTTTAAAATGCACAAAGAAAAATGGCAAGCTACAGTTAATCCAAAGGGAAACAATATTAGTGTTCCCTTATTTGAAGAAAATTAGGAGAGGAGATTCTTATGAAGACAGCTATTTTTAAGGCTGTAAATAATTTCTGAATTATTCTTCTGGTTGCACTACAAAAACCGGTGATTCTGAAGAAGGCATGGGACCCCAAGGAAACCTTATAAAATTTCCACAATTTGTCCCACCTCAAGGGTGGTACTATGACTACTCTTTCCAGATTGAAGTGTCCAACCTGTCAAATATGACATCATAAGGATTAGTAAATTTATAGAAGAAAGACAGGAAAGGTTTTTTTTTTTTTTTAGTGCCAAATAATATTCTATTATCTGGGTGTACCATAGTTTATCCATTCACCTACTGAAGTACAGCTTGGTTGCTTCCAAGTTTTGGCAATTATGAGTAAGAGTTTTCACTTTTAATTCTAAGCTTTTGTTCATTTCTGGTACTTAGAGAAAGAACTACAATTACGACAAGTTTCTTTGTAAATGATGTTAGCATCCTCTCTACATGGTCAAAGTCACTCCAACCTAAACTGTTCTAGGCAAAGAGGAGAAATTTTATTAGTATTTAATTTTAAAATCTCTGTAGTTTTCCATTAAAAGAACAGTGTATAGAGGTCATTAAAAATAAATGTCATTAGGGAAAAAATAAATACACGCGCACCTAACCCTCAAAAACACAAGGCAGAAAACAAATCAAAAAAGAGTTTCAGGAACAAAATTAGCAATGGAGAAGAGGCAGCTCTGAGTTTTAGATAAGGAAAGAGGAATAGGAGTAGATGCTGTTCTTTTTCAGAGAACTGTCTCCTTTCCTAAGCAATCTGGGTTTTTTCAGGAGAGGGTCAGACCAGCACAAAGTTTACCAGGCAGAAGCGCAATGAGGACACTGAGGTGAAAGATTATGAAGCACTGGCTGCACTGTCATCTAATTCTGATGAAGAGCTCAGTCTTCCCATGTCTCCATGTGTTCACCTAAAACAAACAATTCTCTCTCCCAGTATATAAATACACAGAGTACCTTGAGCTCTCCAGGGAAAATGCAGAGGTATAAATATGATTAACAATAGTAGCAGGGGGAAAAAAAGTTTTGACACCAGAGCAAGGCAGCAGACAAAATCATATGAAACAGATTTACCAAATTTTGCCTTAAAACTTGCAGTTTTAATGAGCAGGTATGCTCTAAGGGAAATTATGGATCAAACCAAAGGATTCTTTTGAAGAATATCTCAAACTAGCTTCCACTGGCTAAAGGAATATCCACCCCCCACAGCTCTAAATCTAACTCTTTTCCTATGACATTAGACAACTTTACCAGCTTCCAGAGAGTCAGCTATTAATGGACACAAAAAGGAAATATCCCCCTATGTCAATCTCATACAAAAATGCCTTGCATAGAAGCAGATGTTAAGGCACCAGCTTAACATATTCTAGCTACTACCTTCACATTCAGTCCTCTGACCTCTGGTCTTTTACTAATTCAACCCCTAAAGCAAAAACTTTTTTGAAGGCCCACTGTCTCTTATTTTCCCAGCTCAGAATCTGGACCTCCTCCTACTATAAGTTCCTCCTATGTTTCCCCGTTTAATTTCTATCCCATCTATTATGGCTTGCATCTAGATTCACTGGTCAACTCTCAGTCAGATTTTCTGCCTACAACATTTCATCACACATTCCATTATTTGCCAAAGTCATGTGCTCTGCCCATTACTTGAACTAGATTCCCAGTTTCTTGTGGGTTAATATAGTTTTCCTCTGAACCTGATTCAGAGGATCTTGTTCTGCTTCACAACTCTCTACCAGAGCAGACCAAACAAACTCCTATCATTTTTTCCATCTTTGCCCTTCCCACTCCTCTCTGGAAAACTTGCTAATGTTCCATTATTATCATAGAACCACAGAAGTTTAGAACTGAAAATAACAAACATCATTCAGTTTAGGAGGTTAAATGATTTCTCAAAGCTAGATAACTACACACTAGGACTGAAGGTAGCACCTTTATCACCCAGGCCTGTTCCCTTTCCAGTAGAAATCCATTCATTCTCTCTCAACCTTCATCCTCTTGAAGTTTTACACAAATAACCAACATATCCTTTCCACAAGCCGAAAACATTTCCATCCTTTAACCAGTTATTTTAAATTCTTCCATTGTGTAGACAACTTTTTCTATACTTATCTCTCTAAAAGTCTGATAATAATCAGCCTTAAGATTATATCACCTAATTAACATATATTTTACTTGTATGCTTTGTAAAATCAGTAATATCCCTTACTCAATATTGGTATTCACTTATAAGATTTAAGATAATTTTTAAGGGGGGAAAATATCTGTAAAGTTGAATACTCTGTGATCCCATAGTAAACTTCCAGTATGGCATATTAAATACATATATAAATATAATTTAAACAAACAAACAAATAATTAAAACAAACAATTCAGTAAATAATCTAGATTATCTATCAACTAGGTCGTCATTAAACAAACTGTGGTACACCAATGCTATGATATACAATGTCATGGTTAAAAATGAGGCAGGCCTTGTTGGTCTAATGTAGAAATATCTCCAAAATGCATTATAATGTGAAAAAGGCAAATTGCAAGAATATAACATACATGCAAGTTTATATATACATACAATCATCCCACATTGGAGGGAAAAGTATATATGTATATAGTAAAGATACGTAAATGTAACACAAAAAGGACTGAAAAGGCACTCAAAAAAATTTTTTTTTTCAAAATTTTTAACAATAGTTATCAACAGCTAGAAAAGTGGGAAGCAGGGAGGTATACATGAGGTAGCATTTACATTTTGTCCATGTCCTTCATTACTGAGTTTTTTAAAAAAGATGTGTCTTATTATAAGCTCAATAAAAATGAAAAAAGTAAACTAATTAGCTACAATTTAATCAGTTATACCCACGGTGCCAGGCTTCCCTGGTGGCTCAGTGGTAAAGAATTCGCCTGACAGTACGGAGACACAGGTTTGATCCCTGATCCAGGAAGATCCCACATGCCATAGAGCAGCTAAGCCCGTCTGCCACAGCTACTGAGCCTGTGCTCTGGAGCCCAGGAACCAAACCACTGGGCCCTCGGACACAACTACTGAAGCCCACGTGCCATAGAGCCCGCGATCCACAACAAGAAAAACTACCACAAAGAGAAGCCTGCACACACAACTACAGAGTAGCCCCACTCACTGCAACTAGAGAAAAACCAGCACAGCAATAAAGACACAGTGCCATCAAAAAAAACCCCATGCTGCCAGACACTATGCTGAGGTATCAAACACATTGATCCATCACCCTCACAGAAACCAGAGAGAGAGAGAGAGAATGGGACTGACTGATTATATTCACAGTGAGGCTGAAGACACTGAAGCTCAGAAAGGTTACATGGGTCACTACTAGTAACGCGCAAGTTCATATCTGACCTAGGCCTGCCTGGATACAAACAAGACACTATGCTCTTTCTATGGCACCACACAGCGAAAAGTAGACATAATTTACCCATTAGTCTCAGATTCATGTAAAAATGAGCTATGACATGATGTGTTCTACTACAACTACGAATATTTTTAAGAATCACCATTTACTTTTTATGTTTCTATACATAACTGAAGTGAAAACTACACATGAGCATATCTCTGCTGCTGCTGCTAAGTAGCTTCAGTCGTGTCCGACTCTGTGCGACCCCACAGACAGCAGCCCACCAGGCTCTGTCGTCCCTGGGATTCTCCAGGCAAGAACACTGGAGTGGGTTGCCATTTCCTTCTCCGAGCATATCTCTAAACTGCCAGTAATGTGCTTCTTGTGGGGAAGCTCGGCGGCACCCAAATGAACTAGAAGATCATCTAGTTATTACAGCCCACAATATAATAAGAAAACTGAACTCCGCTTTAGAAATGAAGCTAGGCTGAATAGTACTTTATTGCTGAGAAATAGATAAACAACAAAGAAGTAAGGAATTTCCCTAAACTAATCCATTTCTTATTATAAACACAAAGGAACTATTCTCTGGTTTAATTGAGAATTATCTAGGACATGTGCAATATCTTCCAAACCTAGGACATCTGCAATACTTTCAAGGTCAAGAAATTAAAATTCTGTAAAAGTACAATTGCTATGCTTACGAAGCTGGGCGGTCTTGTCTGAGGTCAATGGTGAAGACAACTGCATCTTCACCGGCAGACAGAAACGTACAGGGAGAGTCTGGTTCCAGGGCCAACTGAAAGAGGAAAAAGAGAAAGGATAAGGTTTCTAAAAGATTAAAATTAAAGGTTGTCTAGTTCATTCCTTTATATTTATGAAGGGCTGCATTTAAAATGTCTCAGCAAGACAAATATCTAGCTTTTTTGGTTGTAAAATCCCAGGAAAGAAGGTAATTTAATAAGCCCATTCTCTCTTGTGTGTGAATTACTTACAGCTTGTTTATTCTATACAAGTCAAAAGGACAGGTGATGTGCTACTTTTAAGTCTCCAGGGGATTTGAACAGTGATACCAAAGGAAAACACTGCCATTAGGGCTCATTCTCAAAATCAATTCCACACCCTCAGGTGGGGAGAGAAATGGCACCCAAGTTTCATTCTCCATAGCTTAGTTCTAAGTTATCTAACTAGTAGTCTTAAGAATCAAAGAAATAGGCTATTTTTACATGTCTTGAGTTATCTGGGCAAGAAAAGTTATATATTTTATACATATTCAGGTCCACCTAAATATTTGTGTAGGGTTTGTAAAAAGAGAGGATCATCTTTTCATGGCATGGAAGAAAATGGTGCCTACTCTGAGACTAGGCAGCTCTTGGCTCCTCACTGCCTGCCACCATAACTATTTGGCCTATATTCCCAGCTCTAAATAGGGCTTCCAGAAATAGTGCTGTTTATGCACTGAGTGTTGTGAACAGGAAAGTTGGCGCTCTCACATATGAGAAGCCAACAGCTAGCACCTTTGAACTGTTAAAATGTTCCAAATACAGTAAGAGTAAATTTTAAATGCTTGGGAGGCAAAGGGGACCTCAAGGATCTCCAAACCAACCATGGCTCAGCTTAGGAGTCAAGGATAATCAGGTGACTGCTGCACGTGCAAGATTTAGAGATCTCTCAAATACTTGCCTTCTGAGAAGTTCAGGGAGACTGCTTTTTCTCCAATCTTATCTACAAGTCTTAGGAGTGAAAGAAGTGAGGCAGGTGTGCATAACCAAAGGGACACAGTGGACAGAAACACTGGCGGGCTGTGGCCGAGACCCGCAGGGGAGCTGAGGTATGCAGCCTCCGGGACGAGGGCTCTCTCACCTTGTGGGATGCCCCCTTGTGCTGGGCCACGCGCTTTGTGTTCTTGCAGCACTGCGTAGCTGACAACTCTGCCACCCGAACCTGTCCATCACGGGCACACATGGCCAGGGTGGAGTCACCACTGTTAGGAAGGAACTTGGCCTGGAGGTTAATTAAAAAAACAGGACAAGAGAAATTGAAGAAGTGAATTTGAGAGGTAAAAACGTGAAGACAACCCCAAATCATCCCCTTTTGCTATACAACAGCTGGAAATTTAGACCTCCTGTTCTCACACAGCTGGCTCAAGTCCAATTTCTTCCGAGGGTTAAAGGAGAAGAGAAATAATTTCTAATATAAGAGCATTTCTGTTGATTCTGGAAGGCTGAACTGGTATAGGATAAGTACTCAGGTGAACTAGGACTAACCCAGTAAGAAAGAAAGGTAAGGGAAAAAGAGAAGAATCTTCCTTGGTTCAGGAAGTCAACAAAAATTTGCTACAAAGGTAAAGGAAACCAAAGGGGATATTGGGGAAGGAAAGAGAACATGCTTAGGGATAAATGTCTAGTACTATACGATGGATGGGCTGATAAGTAAAACTTCCAGAGAATAAAAATGTTACCTTTATCTATCAATGGTTTATTAAGTACCAGTCACGGTCTAACTGCTTAGCTTCTACTGTTATTTAATCTTTATAACCCTGTACATTATTAGTCCTATATTAAAGGCAAATAAACTGAAAGACAGAGGTTAAATAAACTTGCTCACAATCACACAGCTAGTTAAGGGTTTGGGCCAAGATTTAGACTCAGCAGTCTGGTTCAAGAGCCTCTGTTCTTACATTATATGCCTCCAAGCACGGCATTTAGTGCCTTCCTGATGATTTCCAAACACTCTTCCTATCATAATGAGGCTTCTAACAGTTTCTGTGCTCAAGCAAACAAAAGATGACCATGGGTCTTTCAGTGTATTTAACTCTTCTAAGTCATTATGGGAGCCAAGGTATGACCACCTCCTGATATCTAATTCCTACCACAACCATCACTCTTACTCCAGCAGCAGCTCAGGCCTATCTAACTCATGCCCAATTTTCTCAACTGCCAGTCTGTTCCCTTGCCTCACCTGGAAGACATTGCTCTTGTGGCCGCTCTCAAAGTCCAATACTGGCTGCCGCCGCACCCAGTCCCAAACCACCACCTTCAGGTCATCGCTGCCACTGGCCAGCCAGGTGCCGCGTTGGTTAAAGTGCAGAGTATTGACACAGCCAGTATGGCCTTCAAGCCCATGCTGCAGGCGGAAACGCTGCACAAAGACTCTTGCCCCACAAGCCTCATACACAAAGCGGGCACTTGAACCCAGCTCCCGCTCCCGAAGGGCCGGAAGGGCTTGCCAGCGAGGTCGGGGCAGGGCTGATGTCTCTGAGGACACCCAGTCTTCCAGGGCCCGCTCATCGTCCGATGAGTCCTGGTCGCGATTGGCCCGCTTGCGCTGCACACGACGACGAGGGTGCTCCTCCTCCTCCTCCTCCTCCTCCGAGCGGTCATGGACTTGGCTCTCATCATTGATGGAATAATGACCGGTGTCTTCCATGCTGTCAGAGTCCTTGTCTTCACCTGAGCTCTCTGTATCTGTGCCTCGACTCTCTGTGCTGGTGCGGTTGGGGCCACCATCATCCCCGGTCAAGCTCAAGCTCAGGTCTGAAGCCTCCACTTCAATGCCTGAGGATGTCTCCCTCCCCTCCTCAGCACCAGACATCTCCTCTGGACTGCTAGACAGGCTTCCTGCATGTTAGTAAGGAATGGGTAGGTGAGGGGGCAAAATAAGGAAATAAGATAGTGACCAGAAGGATTTCCTCTCCATAGTCTAAAAAAATCATCACATCATGAGACCCATAAACCAACATTGGTCAAAAATGTTTTCATTACAAACGCTCCTAAAGAGTACTTTCTAAGAGGGAATCCGGAAAAGATTAAAGCCAGAGATACACACAAAGAACTGCAGGACACACAAATGAGAACTGTAGGACAACCAAAGATTATAATAAATTCTAAAGAAGCAAAGCATTGGCAGATTTTATTAAAGTATGCCTGAGTCTAACTACCTTAGGCTCTGTTTTGCTAGATGGGCATCCATTAGTTTTAGCAATTAAGCTGAATATAAGGAAAAAGAACAGCCATCCCCAGCATGAGTTGGCTCGAAAAGAAAAGTTCATCACATTCTAGGTCTGCCATACTGGTAGTTATAAAATAACTGGGTCACTAAGCAATATAATTCCCAACAGTCAGATACTGAATTCTCCTATCTAACACCCAAATTATATACCAGTGAACACTCAGGCAATGTTCTGGAGCCCACAGGGCTACAACTTCCAAACTAAGGTCAAGATGTAAAGAAAGGAGAGCGCAAATGAGAATTTTAAACACTGCTTATGGCCTCCTTTCCTCAGATGACTACAAATTTTATCTTGCCAGAAGTAAAGGCTATTAGGAAAGTCTGACCAGCTATGTGTGACTCTGGGATAAGCTATTCAACTCCAGTACCACACTGATGGTTTAAGGATTCAAAGTGGGAGTATCTTCTTGCTTAGTCATCTGGATAAGAGCAGTAATTTCTGAAGCTCTCTGAAGCAATGAAATCTCTTTTCAATGAACTCTTAGACAAAGTCTATTATGGAAAACAGATAAACACATATGTCTTTGGTTCAAGTAGTGACGAAAAGTTGGAAGACACATAAACATCTGTTTTCAAAAAGCACTTCAACTAAGAGTACAGTGTGAAAATGGCTAGGAACTAGAAGGAGGAAAAGTGCAGCAATTTGCTCCTAGGAACTACATTTGCTGAGGCTCCTGTGTGCAGTGAGAAAGATTAATAAGTGTGGTTTTTGAAATGAAATTGGGTTTGAGATTGGGAGTGGTGAGAAGGGATAAAATTTCACACCCATCACTTCTGTGGAGAAGAAAAAAAATAATACATCAAACCTCCTAGCACATATTGTTAAAATTATGATTAACAAACAAAGATGACTTTGGGGGTCTTACCACTTTAAGATAAGGGCCAGAGCATATCACAAGCTCAGTAAGAGGACCCTAACAGTCAATGACCAGATACAGCTAAGAGTTGGCAATTTTTTTCTATAAAACACCTGATAAAAATTTTAGGCTTCACGGGCACAAGTACTCAACTCCATGTTGTAGCACAAAAGCAACCATAAATATAAATGGGGCATGACTGAATTCCAATAAACTACAAAAATAGCAGCCTGCAGGCCATAATTTGCGATCCCTGATCTAGCTAATGGCCAAACTCCAATTCTCTATCTCAAACCCCTCTAGAGTTCTGTGTCTTTCAACTAAGCCCAGTGAAAAATCTTAATCACTCTCCCTTACAGAAAATAAATGAGCAGCAGTGATAAGAAAGGAACAAAAGGGGTAGAAAAACAGCATGTTGAAAGTCTCCCCTTTCCTTCCTCAATACTTCATTGCTCTACCAATTACATCAACTAGAATTTAGCCTATAATCTCTTTTTTTAGCCTATAATCTTAACCTACAAGGTGCTAAGGAAGACTGGACTCTGTGCTGCCCAACTATTCTGAAGGACTTTCTCTAGTTTGGAAGTTCGCTCCGAGCTGACGCACTGGTCAAATGACCCACGGGTAGCTATATTCTATTAGAATATTGATATTCTGCCTTCAAATATGTCCTAGACCCAATAATTTAATAGTCTTCCCTAAGAAAAAAAAAGAAGAAAAAGAAAGAAAGAAAAAAAGCCCTAATCCCCGTTATTTATAACTATCTCTCATCTAATCTATTGAACTATGATCTACCATGGAAAGAGACCTCTCCTTATAACTGGGAAGTCTTGCCTTCCCAACAACTACCTTGGTTTCACCACCAATTAGATCATCTTTTCCTCCTTTATTAACAGCATCTCCTAGGTTTTGTCCACCCTTACAAACTTTCAGAATTCCAAACCACTTTACCTCTTAGAGGCACAACTCCATTACTGATCTTCTGAAAATAATCAAGATAATAGTTGAAGGAACAAAAGTACCAGAAACAAAAAGGTGTTTCCTATGTACTTCCAACACTCAAAACAACACAGGAAGAGTTCACTCCCTCCCTTAAAATCCAGGTCTCCACTTTCTTTGCAGTCGACAGCAAAAATCGCTTCACCTTCATTTTGGTCCCTTACCATTAGCTAAGTCTGTTTTGCCATCTGTGCTGCTCCCTTTGCTGGACATCTTGAATGATATTTACTGTAGCCAGCCTGGATTGAGGAGAGGAAGAAAATGAAAAAATTAGGAAACAATCTGGGAAAGATGATAAAAGGCACCAGGAGATTTAGCAATGTACAGCCTTTGTTATTTTTATAAAAATGATTTTTTGGTGTGTGCTCAACAGGGTTTCTCAGTTGCTGAAAACTATGTCAGATATTATCCCATGTCTAAATTCCATAAAGGGACGTATCTTTGGGAGGCCAACTCCCATCTCTTTACCTTAACAAGTAACTGTCAGTGATTTTTCAGATGGGGGAGAAGGAACTGAAATAAATCCTGGAACAGCAGGTCTATATCAAGTGACAGGTATTGCAAGCAAGCAGTCTTAATACAAAAAAAGTTAGCTCCAGCACTACCCTCTTAGGCAAAAATCTTGTTGTGAATAATCTCTTATGTATCCACAAAGTCTATAAAACATTTGTCTTCATAACATGAAGAGACGGGTCAAAATGAGTATGTTTTTACATACAAAACAGCCGAGATGGAAGAAACTGAGCTCTTGGGATAACACCTTGAGCTTTACGGCCATTCAGATGCTTAGTTTCAAACTTACAGGCACAGACACAAACTAAGGATTATAAAAAATACAGTCAAATTAGAACCCAGGAGCACCCTACCCCAAAAAAGAGCCTAAAAGTTTTTCTTTCCCTTACAACTAGTCAGTCATCAAATGCAAAGATGGAGAAGAAAAGGGCAACATTTCCATTAAAACCATCTCAGTTCATTTCATAAAATGGCAAACACTATTTCACCTATTTCCATCAACTTTCACCAGATTTGTCTGTTTAGCGAGGCCCTAACTAGGAACTGGGGTACCTAACTTTATTCCTTTTATATCCCTTTAAAACAGTCATTATTTTTTCAGGGCCTCACTCCCACCTCAAGCAAATTCCAAAGAGCAAAGAATATTATTCAGACCAGAATTCTGTTAAGCCCTTTCAGTGCCTTGGACAAAAGGCACTGGTAAAGACAAAGTATGATTATGACTCCAGTTCTTGTACCCAGGCACACTGGCCTCTAATCTTTCAACAGCCCTTTCATTCCCAAAACAATTATCCCAGAAGCAGCCCCATCCTTATCCTTACCCCCTACTCTCTCTACAGAAATCCAAGTTGCTTCGAAGAAAAAAAAAGTATCCTCTGCCAAGAGATAGCTGCCCAAAACTTGCTCACATTAGGCCAGGACGAGGCAGTAGAAATAATCCAAGAGCAGGACTGAGGCTGAATTTGAAGGAGGGACACCTGGAAGGGTGATGATGAAAGACAATGTCAACAAAAAACAGATCTGTGAAGCCACATAAAGAAAAACAGAAGAGCTATTTGCAGAGCAGGCTGTTTTATTCCTCCTACTTCAATGATATATTTTTGTACAGTGTTCTCCTCACACAGCACTTGTTTTTTCCTCTCAGTTGTCCCTGTGTATATTCTTTGGTAACTCAGCAGTATCTTCTTCCCCACCTAGGGCTTAAATTAATTATATTAATCACAAAAGTCTATGGAGCAGGGAAAAATAGTTGTACTACTTTAAGATTAAAACCTAAGGTCATCGACGTACCTTATGGTCAACTGCTAACAGAGCTGTCTTTTCATCTCAAGAATCGAAACTGCCAACCACACCATGCATCCCACCTCACTAATATCCACTCCCAGGAAAGCATTAAAGCAGCTCCAGAGGCCCTTATCGCAAAACTCAATCTCATCAACTTCTACAGAAGCCCAGAGTGCTCGAACTTCAGTCTCATAATGGCTCTAGAAAACATCTGCTGGGCTGGAGGAGCCAAATGCCTAATGCTTACCTAGCTCTGAGAACCACTTCTCAGAAAAGGAGAGCCATGGAGTTCAAACTATACCCAGAAGTTGCAGAGAACATCTGCCTTTTGGGAAACTGGTTTAAGGTTTTCACAAGGAGGGATCTTTTCTTTGAAGAAAAAAGCTGACAGAATTTATTCCTAAATTCAGAAACAGAACATAGTCTACGTCAACTCTGTTTAATCACTGAGCTGATAGCTTCTAAAGGTCACATTTTAGGGGCCACAGAGTCCAGTGAAACTAGTCACAGGCTGAAAATTAGAAGTGCAGGATTCTAGTACTAGCTACATTTATTAACAAACTTTGTGACATGACTTTGGATATGCTGCTTAATCTTCTCTGGGCTTCATTTTCTTCTTTTGTAAAATAGTAATTACAGAGATGGTACAGTTAAGCAGAATTATATGTTAAAACTTCTGCAGAGGATGTTCTTAGAGAAGTGATCTCAAAACTGATTATGAACTTCTATCAGTAAAAACTCTGCGCATGAACCCACATTTGATCAATTCACATTAATTATTGAGCTTGATTTTTCTAGAAAAAATTAAAAATTTCAATATTCTTTCCCTATACACCACTGGATCATCTTCCATACCCCATGTGAATTGAAGTGACAGTCAGTCGTGTCTGACTCTTTATGACCCCATGGATTATACAGTCCATCGAATTCTCCAGGCCAGAATGCTGGAGTGAGTAGCCTTTCCCTTCTCCAGGAGATGTTCCCAACCCAGGGATTGAACCCCGGTCTCCCACATTGCAGGCGGATTCTTTACCAGCGAAGCCACCAGGGAAGCCCTCCATACCCCATGGGGTACATATATTCCATTCTGGGGGACTGCTTCTCTAAAAAGCCCAGAAATGATGACAGTGATAAAACTGCAATTACTTTTGGGATGAGTTGTTACTATATAACTGTCTGTCAAAATGAAACTTAAAAACATCTCAGCACTATGGCAGAAATTAGAGTAAGTGCCCAAATTAAAACAGGCTAAAGTCCTATAACTGTTCTCTAGGTCTTAAGCATATGAGTCACTCTAGAATTTCTACCATCACCAAAAAATGCAATCTTATTTTACAATCTGAGTTTAGGGACCATATCTGACCCAAACGTAAATTACTCTTATTCTTTAATACACTCCATCCCCAACAAATGCACCGTTTTTTACCTTGATCATTTTCCATGTAAAATCCAGTCCGAGTCTGGAAGCACTCACTGCCCCAGGTAGCTGGGGGGGGGGGGTAACTAGACCAGCTCTACTGCCTGTACACTAAAAATAACCATAACCCCTGCCAAAGTGAAGGTTAAAGAGTAAACTATTGGGGGATGGTGAAAAAGACCCAGGTATCATTTCAATTTCTACCTAAAAAATTCTAATGACTGAGATTTCTTGTCTTAAAAAGGCCTTAAATTTTTGACCAAGTACATGATAAAATATTAGCTAAAAATCAAGAAGAGAGGGAGTTAATACAGGATGTAAGAGTAGTCTGTGGAAGAAGCACCAAACATCTCTTGTTTAAAACCACTGGGACTGCTTTCTTATCCTAACACTGATGCAAGAGTTATACAAGAGACCAGGTATATTAGAACAACAGGATATCCAAATGTAAAAAAAGAAACTCGATTTGTACACTGAACGATATACAAAAACTAACTCAAAATGAATCACAGACCTAAATGTAAAAGCTAAAACAATACAACTTCCAGAAAACAAAGTAGATAATCTTTGTGACATCAGGGTAGGCAATATTTCTTAAGACAGGGCAAAAAAGCACAAACCATGAAAGAAAAAGTTAATTAACTGGATATATCAAAATTAAAAATCTACTCTTCAAGAGACACTGTTAAAAAATGAGAAGACTGGAAGAAAATATGGACTGGAAGAAAATATCTGCGAAAGACATATTTGACAACGGGAACATAGTTACAGAGTCTCACACCTAAATAACAATCACTTGAAAAAGATGATCAACATTATGAGTCACCAGGAAAATACAAATTAAAACCACAATGAGAATCCTCTACACACCTATTAAAATAGCTTAAATTTTAAAAATAATAATGAAAGTTTTCTTTATCAAGTGATAACAAAGGGTAGAGTAATTCAACTCTTATACACCGCTCAGAAAAATGAAAAACGGTAGTTAGTTGCTTTGGAAAATGGTTGGTTTGGTAGTTTTTTTTTAATAAAGTTAAACTTATACTTACCATACAACCCAGGAATCCTACCCAGGTATGTACTGAAGAAAAATGAAACTAAGAATGAAAAGATCCATCTAAATCTAAATGTAAATGTTTTAAGAGACTTTACATAGATCCATCAAAAAACTGAAAAGTGTTTTTCAGCTAGGTCATGGATAAACCAATCATGGTCCACCGCACAACAGGCTACTTCTGAGCAACACAAAGAATGAACTACTGATACACATAACAACATGGATGGATCCCAAATGTGTCATGCTATGTGAAAGAAGCAAGACTGAGTCATGTAATATTACTTCATTTATAGGACATTCTGGAAAAGATAAACTGCAGGGACAGAGAGTCATTGCTGGGATTTGGGAAGAAGGAACTAACAACAAACAGGCATGAGAAAACATTTTGGAAAGGTGAAAATGTTCTGTGCCTTCATCACAGTGGTGTTACATGACTATGCATTTATTAGAATTCATAAGATAGGTCAATAAAATAAAGGGTAAATTTTACTGTATGTAAATTATCAATCAATCTGGCCAGAAAAGAGAAAGGGGGGAAGGGGGAGGAGATTCATGCAAAGTGTTAAATGACAAGATACAACCCAACAATTAAAAATACTAGACTCTCGAGCCTGTGATTATTAACAAAAGCTACCTAATAGTGGTCAATAGGTCACAATAAATGAGAGCAAAATGTCAGGTTTTCTTGTCTGAAAATTAAAACATGGAATAATTTTTGTTGCAAACAAAGCTGCCTTATCAGAACCCCATTAAAGGTAAGATAAATCCTGAACTCATAAAAGTCTTCAATCCTACTGTCTAGGTGACAACTAAGAATATCAGAAGCTTAAAGTAGTCCAAAGTAGTTACAGTAGTTGTACTATTAATTTGTATACATATGCCTTCTACCTTTTTGAAATTTCTCTCTGAAGTTCACTTTAATCCCTTTGGAGTCTAGGGTCTAAGGAAAACGGTCTGATAACTCTACTCTACCTCAGTTTCAACTTCTAAATAATATTACTGTTCCTGATCTCTTTACTAAGATCTGAACTTAGGTTCAGTGAGTTCTCTTGAGTTACATAATCCCAACATTCTCTTGGGTCCATCCAGCTGTCTCATTTGGCATGTCTCATTCTGCAACTTAAGTTCCCAACTCTCTTACATAGACACTCATGTTTAAAAGAGACAAGGCCTCAGAATTTCCTCTGAAGGTGAAAGGTGACGGTAGAAACTACTTCAATTATTAGTAAGACAGATATCTGAGAGCCACACAATCCCTGGTTCCTCTTGGGAGGACAGATGTCCCATACCACTCATGACTGAACAGCTGTCAGGGTTGATCTCCACCCAAAGTACAAATTTGCTTTTCAGTCTTGGACCCCTACAGTCCATCTGGAATCAACCAGTACTACTTTCTCCATACCTAGTTTTTGTTTCCAAACTGAAATGACTCATTTAAATTCATTCTCCTTACCTTACTACTCTTCTACTTTACAACAAACACTTCTCCAAGTCAACCTTCCTAACGCCAGCTGCCAGCCCGACTCTAATAGTACAGTGTTCATTAATCAGACAGAGAACCTTAGGCACTGAAATTCAAAGAATGACCCCAAAGAAGCTGAAACTCATACTACATAAAACATGTTTATAAGGGGGCAAGCCTTTAGTTCTGGGCTACTCTCTACTAAAGTAGTTGGAGGTGTTATTAATAAACACACTATACTGTAAGCTGGAATGAGGAGCAGAAACTATAAATGTTTCTGGGATCCGGGAAGTTAATCTCTGTTCCTTCCTGCAGAAGAAGCAACAGCACTGGGTAACCACACAGCAGCTCGTCTCCCTTTTTAACCTAAATTATAGGCCTCTGGCACCACCCAGTGGCCCATTTGTACTGAGACATGCTAGTAATGCAACAATGTACAAGGCAAGACAGGAGCTACAAACACAAACAAGGCAGTCATAATACCTTTTGTAGCCAATAATCGATTAGGAACAACAGGTATACAACTATGATGTAAGAGACACAAGTGTCAGTACCATTAAAAAAAAAAAAGATAGGAAATTCCATGGTGGTCCAGTGGTTAGGACTTTGCTCTTTCACTACCATAGCCCAGGTTCAATTCCTGGTTGGGGAACTAAAATCCCACAAGCCCCTTGGTGCAGCCAAAAAATGGAAAAAAAAAAAGAAAGAAAAAGATAAATAGAATATTGTCACAATTCAACAGAATAAGGATTATATT